AAGTATTTACTGTGAGCTCTGTGTTAAGCAGTTTATATTATTATCTTATTTAACTCTTAGGTTTAATTATATTATTATTTCTCATTTTACAGGTAAGAAAACTGAGCTTTGGAGATTTTTGCCTGAGATCCCAGAGACAATAAAATAGAAGAACTGGAGCTCAAATCCAGATCTTCCTGACTCCAAACGTGAGCTCTAGACAATTACACCACACTACCTCTGTAAGGAGAGTCAGCTAGTCAAAAACCAAGGGAATGTGGAATTCTATGTAGCTAAGCACACATCCAGAAAGAAAAAATAAATATTGGTGCTTTTAAAACTCTCCAGAAAAGTAAAGAACTTCATTCTCATATTTAATTCTGCCAAAATTTGCCTCTAGAATTATCTTTAAATTTAATTAATAACTAAAGCTTAGAAACCTTGGTATCAAGATATACTTCCTTTAATTCTTGTTTTATCTGCATGTAGGAAAGCTAAGAAACTATTTTGCAAAAATCAGTGTTAGGCAAACAAGTGACCCCATTAAGAATGTGGTACAAGCTGTACCACACTGCTGTGCTTTGTAAATAGGGAGGGAAAAAATAATTCCACAGGAGGCAACCATCAGCCCTGAGCGGTATGGACATCCTGTCTCCGTGATTACTTGTGGCTATCGGAAGGGAGGTATACGGTCTTGTTCCATATGTTCAGATATGGTCACAGGTGAAATCTGTGTGGCTAAGGAAGTGCACAGAATTGGCTCTGTGACACGTGCACCAGGAAGAGCAATGTCGTGTCCAAACGTATGGATGTTTGTGTTTCCATCTGCATACTGGTCCTTTGTGTCAACATAAAAATGCAGGAAAAGAAACCAATACTTATTGAGTACCACTTAGTATGTTATATTATTATGTCAATAATTCATTTAATATTGTAGAAACTGGAGTTCAGACAGGTAGAACTTCTATCACAGCAACCATAATGTATTACTTATTATAATAAAAATACTATTACTAAAACAACAATGATAGTGTCCATTAATTGAGTGCATATTATATGCCAGGCACTGTGCAGGACATTTCCCATTATTTCACTTAATCCTCATGACAACCCTGTAATATTAGGACAATTACCCATTTTACAGGAAAAAGAAACAGACACGTATGATGTTAAGCAACTTTCCAAGGTCACATGATTAGCAAGTGGCATCTGTTTGTGTCTGTCCCCCCAACAATGACTGTAAATTTTTTTTTTTTTTTTTTTTTTTTTTTTTTGAGACGGAGCTTCGCTCTTGTTACCCAGGCTGGAGTGCAATGGCGCGATCTCGGCTCACTGCAACCTCCGCCTCCTGGGTTCAGGCAATTCTCCTGCCTCAGCCTCCTGAGTAGCTGGGATTACAGGCACGTGCCACCATGCCCAGCTGATTTTTTGTAGTTTTAGTAGAGACGGGGTTTCACCATGTTGACCAGGATGGTCTCGATCTCTTGACCTTGTGATCCACCCGCCTCGGCCTCCCAAAGTGCTGGGATTACAGGCTTGAGCCACCACGCCCGGCCAACTGTAAATTTCTTAAGGGCAAGGACTGTGTATTCTTTAATTCTATATTTCTAGGCCCTAACACTGTGCTTGGCACAGAGTATAGATAATTCTATAAATATGTTTGAATAAATGAGTGAAAAACAAACAATAACCCCCAAGATAAGTGGCAGAGCCGTAACTGGGATTTATGGCTTCCTTCTTCTTCTTCTTTTTATTTGTTGAAACAGATTCTCACTCTGTTGCCTAGACTGGACTGTAGTGGCATGATCTTGGCTCACTGCAATCTCTGTCTCCTGGGTTCAAGCGATTCTCATGCCTCAGCCTCCTGAGTAGCTGGGACTACAGGTGTGTGCCACCATGCTTGGTTACTTTTTGTATTTTTAGTAGAGACAAGGTTTTGCCATGTTTCCTAGACTGGTCTCAAACTCCTGGAGTCAAGCGATCCCATAGTTTCATATTGCCTGCTCAAATCAGGGTCCTGATTAATGACTCACATGCCTGTTTCATAATGAAAATTTCTATTAGACATTTTCCATATAAGTGTAATAGAGTGATTCTACCTCCAGGTCTTTATATTGCAGAAATACTAGCATAATATATAAATATGTTTTGCCAGTGTGTCTACTATTGATATTTCAGAAAAAGTATATTTTTTAATTAAAAAGAAAAAAAGGCCAGGTACAGTGGCTCACACCTGTAGTCCCAGCACTTTGGGAGGCCAAGGCCAGAGAATTGCTTGACCCCAGAAGTTTGAGACTAGCCTGGGCAACAAAGTGAGACCCCTATCTCTATTTGTTAAAATTTTTTTTTTTAAAGGCCGGGCATGGTGGCTCACACCTGTAATCCCAGCACTTTGGGAGGTCAAGGCGGGCAGACCACAAGGTCAGGAGATTGAGACCATCCTGGCCAACATGGTGAAACCCCATCTCTAATAAAAATACAAAAATTAGCTGGGCATGGTGGCACATGCCTGTGGTCCCAGCTATTTGGGATGCTGAGGCAGGAGAATCCCTTGAACCCGGGAGGTGGAGGTTGCAGTGAACTGGGATGGCGCCACTGCACTCTAGCCGAGGTGATAGTGCGAGACTCCGTCTCAAGAAAAGAAAGAAGAAATAAAAATAAAAACTATAAAAAAAATCCATTAATGGAGGAATGATTAATGGTACATCTATTCTGTAAAATATCATATAACTTTAAAGAGAGTAAGGTAGATGTACTTACACTGATGTAGAAGAATAGCTAGATAAGCAGGTTTCAGAATGTTGACTATGGTTTAGTGTGTGTAATAGTAATCATGTCTTCAATGTTTATTGCACATCTTCTTCCAGCCACTCTTCAAAGTGTGTTACAAGTATTACCATATTTCACTAAATCAAACATAGTGGGTTTTTTTGAGACAAGAGTCTCGCTCTGTCACCCAGGCTGGAGTGCAGTGGCGCAATCTCAGTTCACTGCACACTCTGCCTCCCAGGTTCAAGCAATTCTCCTGTTTCAGCCTCCCGAGTAACTGGGATTACAGACATGTGCCACCGCATCCAGGTAATTTGTATATTTTGAGTAGAGAAGGGGTTTTACCATGTTGGCCAGGCTGATCTCGAACTCCTGACCTCAGGTAATCTGCCTGTCTTGGCCTCCCAAAGTACTGGAATTATAGGCGAGAGCCACCTCGCCCAGCCCTAAGATAGTGTTTATTGAATGCTTATAATATACTTGGACCTCTCCTAAGCATTTTTATTTCATAGACAAAAGTGGGAAAAGTGTGTCTCTTAAAATCAAAAACTGCATTTTGTGAGTGGGGAAATTGGGAAGATGTTGCTCAAAGGATAGAAAATTTCAGTTAGACATGAGGAATAAGTTTAAGAGATTTATTGTACAACATGGTAACTATAGTTAATAACAGTAAGCCAGGGGTTGTGGCTCATGCCTCTAATCCCAGCACTTTGGGAGGCTGAGGTGTGTGGATCACAAGGTCAGGAGTTTGAGACCAGCCTGACCAACATGGTGAAAGCCCATCTCTACTAAAAATACAAAAATTAGCCAGGCATGGTGGTGTGCACCTGTAATCCCAGCTACTCAGGAGGCTGAGGCAGGAGAAAAGCTTGAACCCAGGAGGCAGAGGTTGCAGTTAACTGAGATTGTGCCACCGCACTCCAGCCTGGGCGACAGACGGAGACTCCATCTCAAACAACAACAACAAATAACAGCAGCCAGTGCAGTGGCTCACACCTGTAATCCCAGCACTTTGGGAGGCCGAGGTGGGCGGATCACCTGAGGTCAGGAGTTCGAGACCAGCCTGACCAACATGAAGAAACTGTATCTCTACTAAAAGAAATACAAAGTTAGCCAGGCGTGGTGGCACATGTCTGTAATCCCAGCTACTTGGGAGGCTGAGGCAGAAGAATCACTTGAACCCGGGAGGCAGGGATTTCAGTGAGCTGAGATTGCACCACGGCACTCCAGCCTAGGCAACGAAAGCAAAACTCTGTCTCAAAAAACAAACAAACAATAACAGTATATTGTGCGGCACAGTGGTTCATGCCTATAATCCCAACACTTTGGGAGCCTGAGGTGGGAGGATTGCTTGAGCCCAAGAGTTTGGGACCAGCCTAGGTAACAAAGTGAGACCCCATCTGTTGGGTTGGTGGCATGTGCCTGTGGTCCCAGCTACATGAGAAGCTGAGGCGGGAGGATCATTTGAGCCCAGGAGGTCAAGGCTGGAGTGAGCCTTACTTGCAGTGATGGGGGCAGTAAATGCAATGGAAAAGAAGTAGAAAAAAAAGATGAGTGGGAATAAGCCTGGCAGGCCCAAGAATGCTGCATCTGGGCCAGAAATGAGAAAGTAAAGAAGTACCTTTGGTAACCCTGGAAGTAGGGGTGAAGCACAGCTGAAATCACAAGGACTGGTGCAGGACCTAGTTTCCTTCCCCCATCGCAGCCGCTCAGAAGTACAGAGATTTATTCTCTTGGGAGAGTAAAACAGTCAATCTCTGGAATAAGGGTCAGCAGGCACAGTTAATGGCCCTTTTTCAAAAAAGGGAATTAGGATTCGCTTGGCTTTTCCCACACTCTGTTCCCAGAATGTTGGGCAAATGAGTCTTCTTCTTTGGGGAAAAGGAAGCCAAAAATGAAAGAGTTAAAGACAATGGCACTGGGATCTCTCCCAGAATGGCTCTTCATGATCTATGACCTAAGGGTCACTGGCTCATAGACAAATCACCTCATGGCCAGTGGCTCCCATCTTCACGCACAGAACTTCCAATCGGCTTTTAGTCCCCTACTTTTATTCATGGCAGGATGCCAAGGGTTACCAAACACAAGGCTTTCCTCTAAGAGAAAAGATAGCGACCAAAACAAACAAAAGAAAGAAACTTGTGAGATGCGCCAGGGCTCCGGTAGCGACGGCGGCTTCAGCCGGGCTCAGCGATGCTAGCACCTCTCCCAGGAGACCGTTGCAGTCAGCCAGGCCCCTTCACACGGTAACCATGTGCGACCGAAAGGCTGTGATAAAAAATGCAGACATGTGGGAATTGGAGCAACAGGACTCGGTGGAGTGCGCTACTCGGGCGCTGGACCCATATAACATAGAGAAGGACATTGCGGCTCATTTCAGGAAGGAATTTGACAAGAAGTACAATCCCATCTGGCACTGCATCGTGGGGAGGAACTTCTGTAGTTACGTGACACATGAAACCAAATGCTTCATCTACTCTTACCTGGGCCAAATGGCCATTCTTCTGTTCAAATCTGGTTAAAAGCATGGATTGTGCCACACACCGAGTATCCATCCAAAACCAAGGACTGCAGCCTGAATTCCAAATACCAGAAACTGAAATTTTCAGCCTTGCTAAGGGAACACCTCGATCTTTGAATCTTTATTGTGTTTCGTACAGGGCATTCTCTGCACTTGTTTGTTGTGGTTATAAAACAATTAGCAAAATAAAAAAAGAAAGAAACTTGTAGGAAATTGTGACAATGCAGAGAGAAAATACTTTTTCTTAATTTATTTGTATTTAAAAAAAAGATGTATTTATTTATTTATTTATTTAATATAATAGAGATGGGTTTTCACTATGTTGCCCACCCTGGTCTCAAATGCCTGGGCTCAAGCAATCTTTCTGCCTTAGCCTCTCAAAGTGCTAGGATTACAGACATGAGACACCATGCACAGCTGAGAGAAGAAAACTTTAAAAACTGCGTATACTAGGCTGGGCGCAGTGGCTCATGCCTGTAATCCCACCACTTTGGGAGGCCAAGGAGGGTGGATCACCTGAGGTCAGGAGTTTGAGACCAGCCTGACCAAGAGGAATAAATCTCATCTCTACTAAAAATACAAAATTAGCTGGGCACGGTGGTGCATGCCTGTAATCCCAGCTACTCAGGAGGCTGAAACAGGAGAATCGCTTGAACCTGGGAGGTGGAGATTGCGGTGAGCCGAAATCATGCCATTGCACTCCAGCCTGGGCAACAAGAGCAAAACTCCATCTCA